CTTCGGATTTGGTCCCTCAAACTCCAACTTCTTTCTTCCAACTCAGTCAGAATCACCTCGCATCTCTCCAGTGATTCTACCCCGAAACCCCCGTCTCGCTCAGAGCTCTGTAATCCTGTGTGGGCTGCCTTTTCCCTGGCATCGAATTTTGGCTCTCTACGTCCTGCCTCGATGTTTGCTACTCCGCCTTGGTTGAAATTCTTGAACCTATTTGAAAAGCCTCGTCCGAAATTTCTGGCCTCATCAGTATTTTGTTCAACATGTTCGGATGCTCTTTTCCCAGGGACTCTGCGTTATCTGCTCAGGCTGGCCCCCTGCCTGTTGAGAGCTTCTAGATCAGGTGCTAGGCTTGGTTATCCTTTTTTTTTTTTTTCTAATATGTACACTCCCAGCTCCTTCAACTCTGATCCATCTGTATCTGCAGCTGTCTTTGCTTTTGTAAATCTGAACATGTTGTTAGGTTGCCAATCTACTCGTATTTCTTCTATTGTGGTTATGCCTGGGGATTAAATTATTCTTGAAACTAAAAACAATTCAGTTTTGGAGTTTAAATCAAAGATCACTGAGAACTAAATTCAGTGACCTGGTTTTGTAACTTTTTTACTTTTAAACTCTCCTATGTGAAGTCTTTTTTGAACTTGCATACTTTAAGCCAACACCAATCACAATGAAAAATACTTTAGGATGCTGATGCCTCAACTACTTTGTGCCTAGAAAAACAGAGGAAGACTTTCATTTTTGCTTTACTTATAGTGACGAAAATGAAAATGTTCATTTATTAGCCTTTGAAGCTAGAGCCCGAACAGAAATACGTGAATGAATTGTGACACTTTGTCCAGCTGCAGAATTCTCCTAAAAAAATTAGGTTTATTTTCTTTAAACACTGAAAGCCTTTTTATTTACTCAACAGGTATTTTGTACAGCACCTACTATGTTCCAGGACTGTTGGAGCTGACAGCACAGGCACAAATCCTTAAATCCTCACAGAGTGTTCATTCTGAGTAGACAGAATGTCTTGTTTCATACATATTAATAGTTTACATTCAGAGAGTCCAAAAAAAAAATCTTCAGAGATCTCATGTGTGGTATAAAATGATACTTTTGACAAAGTGATTTTATTTGAAACCCTGTGGCCAGCTATGTCTGACACAAAGTCTAAGAACTAATAAAGGGGATTCTCACTTAATTTCTTAGAAAAGTTATCCAAATTACTGAAAAGTGGCGTATACAAGAAAAAAGAAGGGGTAAATTAGGGGAAATAGAGTATTTAAATGTTAATTATTTCAGACGTGTGGAGCTAAGTGGGGAAATACCAACTTAATCTAAGTATGTTGAAGGACAGTTTTCCTTTCAAAACAAATTTCATCAAAATCAGGGATTCTTGAACTTTTCTTGGATCAGTGATCCCTTTAAGAATCTAATCAAAACTATGAACTCTCTTTCTCCCCAAAATGTACGCATGCAACATACATATAAAAATTTAATAACATTTCAAGGGAATCACAGAATTCCCAAAACCAAATCTGTGGACCCTCAAAGACCTTGGGTTAAGAACATCTGCTTTGATCTGGACTCTATTTTGCTGTCATTTAAAATCTGTTTTTTAAATTCAAATATAGGCAATTTTAATACTTTAAAAGTATACTCATTTACATTTATGAAAAGGAGTATTCAATATTGAACAGGCAGTATTCACAGCACACAGATCCTGTTGCATTATCCCTTACTGTATATGCCAGCATACATGTAAGGATTTACTTTCCTTATCCTTTTTTGCCGGACCCCAAAATGATGTGATTCTACATAGAACTATTCTGACAGAAGAGTAAACATAGTTATCAGGAATCGATGCTGAGTAATAATAAAGAGAACGGCAAGTCTAACTTGAAATGCACCCATGTCTGGAGCTGAGAAGCAGCTGCTGGCCATCGTGACTTTTCTGTACATGGAGATGAAATGAAGTTATTTAGTTAAGTGAGGGCATTTAAATAAACTGTTAGCCTTATCATTACTCCACCTAGGGCACTGGGCCTACAAGAAGATAAATGTTAGCATTCAGGTGTCTGTGTATTTTCTTTAATGCTAGGTCTGGAATGTAATGAAATCAGTGGAAACAGAGACATTACCTAAATTTCTAATTAATTAAAAAATACTTTGGAAATAGGTGGGTAGGAAGATATTTAGCCAAGCAGCCCTTACTTGTAGATAATATCCTGGGGGAAAATGGATAGTTAGAATTCTAGCCAGAACTTAGAAGAGTGTGGGAGTATTTACAAAGTAGTTCTTAAACAGTGCAGGGATACTAGAGTACATTTTACTTGTTAAAATTTATTTTTATATCCAAATGATTTTTATGTAGTTGGCTCTGGTGAAACTATTCAGAACTACTGAAAAATTAGGAAGGGAAGAGTTTCAAAGGAAAAAGGGCCAAAACATAACTGAGAGTTTACAAGTATATTTATGTATTAAGTCTAGACGGCCAAAGGTTTTTTGCCTTAGGTACAGTGATGAGCATATGTACATGGAATTGATATCACAATTAATTTTGAAATCTTTTTCGTTGAGGTAACAACTAAGGAAATTTTAATGAAGTTTTGAATGTTAAATTCTAAATGTGGAATAGTGTATTACGGAAGTAGTTTTAAAGTTTGAATGAAAGCAGGTCTGTACCTGTTCAACCTGCAGTGTTCTTTGCATGGTTCCCATTGATTAGAAACTTGAGTCCTAGAACCTAACTCTTTTTAAAGTGCCTATGTACTTGGGTTCTTCAGAATATAAATGTAGACTTATTTATGTTTGATATAATATTTAATGTAAAACCATAGAACATGAGATTTAAAAGTTGCAAATGGATATTAAACCTCTTGTTATGAGTAGTGATCAATAAGAATGTAATTCAAAAAATCTCTATAGATATTAATGTTAATATTCATAAAGTTGGTATCAGAATAAGAATTGGCTCTAACTTATACATCTTCAATATAATAGTTTTTTTTTTTTTTTAAATGGGACAGAAAGCCCTATTAAGTAGAAACCTAAACCTAATTTAGTGGTAGCTTCTATTTCCATTTCTTTTTGAATGTAGTGTCTATGTGGCTTATGTCCAAGTTTGTAATAGTGTGTTTGTGATATGTTGTGTTCCAAACAAAGATTTCAAAGTAATAATAAATATGTAAGACACATCTAAGAAATTATTTGAAAATCTGAAAACACCAAGTAAGGAAAAATTCAAGGAAATCTTGTAAATTAAAGAAATAATGTAATATGCCACATATTTGAAATTTGTTTTAGTTGCTATTTTGAGGTACATTAAAATGGTTGCAAATATTGAGCTCTTGACATTGCTATTATATTTTTAAGGGAAGCGAAGTGCATTGCAAGTATACAATATACAGCTTAAATATTGATTCTGGAAATTTTGCAGATAAAACCTGCAAAGTTGCTAGTGGGTCAGCTACTTTAAATCTGGGATTATTTGAAACAGTTCCTCAGAAGAGATGATTGAAGAAAAGAGGGATTTTCACGAGCTGCCTTTTGTGGGAAATGATGCAACATTCCTTCACTTGCTTACACAGTATTTCACTCTGAGTATGTGCTAGGGAAATTGTAGAGCAGGGATCATTTATTTAGCATGAGCAGGCTAAGACTGGCTGTGCTTTCAAAGTCACAACCAAATTTTAGAACTTGTTACAGGAGTCTTTGAAGAGCAGGGATAACTGAGGTTAATTTTTTATGAAGTAACGAATACCTTTACTTTGAAGCATTAATTGCCGAGCTTTTGCACGGGAAGCTATTTTAATATTTTTAAGCGATCAGTGTTTGAATCAGAGTGAGAAGTGTATTCAGTCTTCTTTTTAAGATCACAGAATAGGCATGGACATTAAACAATGCCTTTTCCTTTAATCACTCTTTGCCTGGCTTCTGGAAAATGTTACTTATATAAAATTTTAAAGCCTAAAGTGTGAACAGAAACATATTATAATTGACTAACTTTTGTTGTATGATGTGGTAAGGTGAATAGAACATTAGAATAAGACACATGATTTTGACTTTGGTCCCGCTTGTGACTTTGGGCCTCAGGTTCTTTACATTAAAAGAGAGGTCTGAACTAGGTTTAGTCTTTCAAAAGGCCCTTTACTAGGCGCTCTTATTTACATTGTCAGACCATTGGACTTGTCAGTGACCAAACAGTTGGGTTGGGATAAAGGCCATTATTTTGATTTTTTTTTTCTCTGAAAGAATTCCCTTCTCAGCAGTACGTTCTTTGTAGATATAGAATTGCATTTTTACAGAGCCATAAGGGCTCTTAAAGTTTATTTTCCCACCTCCTTCCCTTCCTAAAGAAGACAACTGAGGCTGGAGAAGTAGCCTTTATCAATTAGTATTACCTGGCAGCAATCTCCTGTCTTTGCACATTCAAACTAATCAGCACATTTTACATTTCAGTCAATTTAATCTACCGTGTGGATAGACAGTGGTATTAGGATTGCATATTGCTTCTTAAAATCTCTTAGAACTGTTAGTTCTGTCACAGCAAATTATTGAGAGTAAGACTGAAACTAAAAACAAACAACAACAACAAAAATCCCAAACTAAAACATCCCTCCCTTAGTCTGGAGGACCCTCAAAGGTCATGTCAGTTGAAAAAATTCGAATGAACCCTGAAGGGCACGAACACGCTAAAGAGACTGAATGCTTTCCTTAAGTGTGAAGAGACTGCATAATCTGGCAGGGACTTTTTGCCCTACTTAAAAACATAGCTAACACCAGTTTGGAATTCCCTGTGGACGACAAGAGGAATCTGTCATTTTAGTCTCTTCTCTCGGAAGCCCTCCCACACCTACAAGGGTTCTTTGGCACGGGGCGTGCACAACGCACCGCGAGGCTGCTATTCCCAAGTGTCCGCTCAGCCCGCTCGCGGGGGACGAGCTGTGAGCGGTGCCTGCCGCCTGTTGATCCCATTTCCTCCTGCTCTAGTCCGGGTTAGGGAGTGGCTCTCCCAGGACTTCCAATGTTTTCGTGCTCAGGCACTGGTGTTCACACAGCTCCAGTGCATTGTTTTCTTCCAGGCAGTCTCGGTTAGCGCTTCAGCTTAGATATTTATTTTGCATTCTGTCGTCTCGGGCTGCGGGTACTTGCTTGTCTCTCCACGCCCTGGCCAGTTTCCTGTTAGCCAAAGGGATCGCTCTTTCTGAACCAAAAGTTCTCAGAGCCGAGTGGAACCTCCCGGAAAATGCTCTTCTCTTCCGTGTGCGCCGGATGGGAGTGGGGGTGGGCCAGAAACTAAAGGCCACGGTCGGGAGAGCTGAAAGGACCCGAACCCCTAGGCGGAGGCGGGAGAGATACGGGTCAGCCGAGAAGGGCTCCGGGGTCCGGAGACAAAGGGGGCAGCGCCCATCCACCTCGGGGCCGGAGGGGACTTTTACTCGTGGGAACTGTGCGGCGAGGCCCAAGTGTCTCTGGAGAGATTCTGGGTCCAGGAGGTGGCGGGAGCACCCAGGGGAGCCGGGAGGAAGCTAGGTTCCCTTTCTACTCCCGGGGCCGTTCTTGCCGCTGCTGCCCGGGAACCGAGGGAGGGAGCCTCGCTACTGCCGGGCCTGCGGGGATGGGCTGCGGAGGCTTCGCGTCTCCCCCGCCCTCCCGTCCGTCCTGGGGACCCCAGACCCTAGGGGAAGTGGGAGGTTGTCCCAATCCCTCTGTCGCTCCCATCCTCTCTACCCGCGCCGGTTGTATTCCGGGTCAGGAACCCTGTAACATCCCGAGGCTGGGTGCGCTGCCGTCCCATTGGGCCTGGGTCCGTGTCCCCTGCGCCCCACCGCGGTCGCCACTCAGGCGGGAGCGGAGCGCGGGATCCTGGAGGGCCCCGGCCGCTGGAGGCGTCTGGTCCCCGGCGACCCTTCCCCCGCGGGGCCGGCTGGGGGAGGGGAAGATGGCGGCGGCGCCTCGGCGCGGGGCTCCGGTCCCGGCTCGAGCAGAGCACACCTACTGACCACCGCCGCCGCCCCCGCAGGGCGGTGCTGTGTCCCCGCAGGAGTCGGAGAGGATGGCGGGGGCCGGCGGCCAGCACCACCCTTCGGGCGCCGCGGGAGGAGCGGCCGCCGCGGCCGGCGCTGCGGTAGCCCCCGCCACTGCCTCGGCCGGGCCCGGAGAGGATTCGTCCGACAGCGAAGCGGAGCAAGAGGGACCCCAGAAACTGATCCGCAAAGTGTCCACTTCGGGGCAGATCCGGACCAAGGTGAGGCGGGCCCAAGGGGAGCGTGGAAGGCGGGAGGCGGCTGGGCGGGGAAGAGGAGAGTGGGCGCCTGGGGCGCAGGGCGATCCCGGGAAAGTGTGGAGCCGAGGTGAGGGCGGGGCCTGGGCCCGGAGGCGGGGCCTGGGGGAGCCGGACGGCGCGCCGCAGAAAGGGATTCCCGGCCGGCGCGCTGGGGCCTCCAGGGTGGGTTCCGGGGGAGATGGGTGGGCAGGGGCGGAGGAGAAAGGAACCAGGGAGCGTGGGAAAAAGCGGAAGCGCTGTTTAGAGTTCCCACTCAGGGATCTAAAAAGGAGTGTTTCATTTTTGGTACTACCTGCCGTGCAGTGGTTCGGTAGAGTGCGTTGCGCAGGGAGCGAAGGGCAGGCTGACCAGCCAGAGCTGCGGTGAACTTCGCCACCTTCCCTTCCCGTGGGCAGCAGCCTGCCTCTCCCTGGCCCACTCTGAGAGGGTGGATGGGGAGGTGACACCTGCCAGTCCCTGTGCCCCTTTGCTGCCCTTTGGTAAATGATGCTCGCGGTTAACCGCACCCTAACGCGGCACAAACAACAGACCTCGAGTTAGGTTCCCGCTAAGTGCAGTGTTCTTATCTTATCGACACACCCATGGTTAATTTTAATAATGAAAAGTAACTGCTTTGTGTCACGTGGAGATTAGCATGCTATGCTACTCTTTATGTAGCAGGTACTGTTGACCTGTGAGGGCTCAAAGTTGAGAGTTTTAATTTGATTTTATATGTATATATAGCAAATGCTTACGACTGACTGAAGGATTATTTATACACTCTAATTTTCATCATACTGTAGAAATCATCACGCGGAGAATCAGTTATCACGGGGGGACTTTAACGAGGAATTTGAAAAGGGAACCAATAAAATCATTGGATATGTGTGCTCTTTAAGAATAAATTTGCAGAAGTTAATTCATTCTATACCTATTTTTATGAGAATTTGTTTTCTAAGGTTAATGGACCCATATATGAAAATAGAACTTTTATTATATGTCTGTGGATTCATGTTTGCACCTGCCTCCTTATTTTCTAAAATAAATATGTGTAAGCACACACACAACTGCTAACAAGCTGCACTTAGGGAAGAGTCAAAGATGCTTCTTTTTTTTTTTGGTACAGGGGCCTCTCGCTGTTGTGGCCTCTCCCACTGCGGAGCGCAGGCTCCGGACGCACAGGCTCAGCGGCCATGGCTCGCGGGCCTAGCCGCTCTGCGGCATGTGGGATCTTCCCAGACCGGGGCACGAACCCGTGTCTCCTGCATAGGCAGGCAGATTCTCAACCACTGCGCCACCAGGGAATCCCAAAGATGCTTCATTTTTAAGTGCACATCTTGTAACCTCCTTTTAACGGTGACATTTTTAATTTAATATAATTTTGATAAATTAAGGATATGGAGTTTAATGTATTTTTAGAAGATTAAGGCTAAACAAAATAGGGACTTTCCTAACAGAGAGTACCTTTATAACATTTGAAATCTTAGTTAAAAAAAAAAAGTTCCCAAAACTGTGTTAATAATGGGCAAAATGGCAGGTTTTAAAAAAATGGTATTTTTATACATTCAACTGAAATGGTAAAAATTCCATGTATACTTACATCAAGATTGACCAGTAAATTTATACTGGTTGGAAGAAAATTTAGAGATAACTCTAATTTGAATTGAGTAAAGTCAAACAACAAATTTGTTGGGAGTACCACTAAAATTTGAAGGGTTCTTGAACTCATGATGATAGCTACGACTATACTCTTTAAATTTGATATTATCTATGGTTTGGGGTAAAGCATCTATATCGAGACTAAGAGTAAATTCAGAAAGCGTGTTTATTCTTGATTTTCCATTTAACTTTCTCACAAAAATATTTAGCACATAATGTTTTGCCATGATTAGGGATAATTAGTGATCATTAAATGAAATGTTCCTTAAATTTCTAAAGATGTATTGAATTTCAGAAGTTCTGTCTTTTATACTAGCTTATACAAGTGCATATAAGTTCATCAACATTATCATATATGGACACATGAAATCAGGGCCTAAACTGGCTGAAACTGGTGGGCCTTGTCCTCCCTGCCTGTCCCAACCCCCCAATCCAGACTGTTCATCTCTGCTACAGATTTCATCAGTTACATCTCTTAACCACAGGTACTGATTCTCAGGGTTGAGGGCAGGACAGTGGACAGAATTCATAGAATGGGAACTGCTAAATTTAACTGTTGGTTTCCAGTCTTCAGTTATGATCCAGATGAGAGTTAAGGGAAAAGATCTTTAGGAAAGGACAGACACTCTTGATCCCTTCCACAGGTGTGTAAGATGGAGGAGACTGGAGGAGAAGGAGGCCCTGAGATTAGCCCAAGTCTTAGTCATATTTAAGACAGCAGGAGCTTGTATATCCCGAAGATAAACCAAGGGACCACTAGGTGTCACAAGTTGTGATTACTAATGGTATCTTCTGCCCTGGTTATGTAGCAGCCTGGGGTGGTGTTTGTGGCACACGTACACGTATTTACACGTACATACCCATGTGCTTACATATATCTGCACATATATGCTCTCTCTTTGGAAAGCACTTATATACAGACATACAGAGGGCCTACAGCAGTGAGTTGTGCATAGAGGTCGTAAGTATTTCTTAAATGAATGACTGTGTATATATTACATACATACATATAATGCTTCATATATATGGGTGTTATTGTTAAAATGCAGTACTTATTTTAGTGTCCTTTAAGATCCTTAGGATCATAAAACTGTTTGGTGTCTAGTTTAGGTCTGGAGTGAAAAACAGCCACTAACTTAAGTAATTACCTTATTTGAAGTGAAGTGAAGTGAAGTGAAGTGTTCCTTTTTGTGAATGCTGGTTAATGTTTTAAATAATTTGAGTGTTAGTGAAGAACCTTAAGTTAATTGTGGCATTTGGAAGGTATCCAGACTTTTCTTAATTGAAAAAGTAACGTGTGCATATAGTAAGACGTTCAGACAGTGTGAGAGGATATTGGTGATGGTAGAGTATCCAGTGAAAAGTAATCTTCCTCCCACGTTAGACCACATAGTCTCTGTCTCAGAGGCAATTGTTGACATTTTCTTGGTGTGTTTCCAGAAAATTTCTATGCACATACAAGGATATGTGTGTGTGTGTGTGTGTGTGTATAAATATGTAGTATTTAAAAAATACTAATGAGAACATTCTCTACACATTCTGCATCTCGTTTGTTTGAAACATGGAGATCATTTCTCTAATGCTTGACTATGACTACCTCATTCTTTGTAATGATGGCAAAGTATTCCATTATATTAGGTTGAGCTAAGTGAAGCTGCTCTGTCAGTAGGTCAAAATGGTAGAGAGTAGGGCCGGGAGGTGGGGAAAATGGGCAGAAGTACACACTTTCAATTATAAGATGAATATGTTCTGGGGATTTAATGTACAGCATAGTGACTGTAGTTAATAATACTAACTTGTGTATTGTGTACTTGAGATTTGCTAAGAGAATAGCAAAGTATTCCCACCACACACACACACACACACACACACACACACACTCTTAGCTGTGAGGTGATAGATATATTAACTTAATTGTGGTAATCATTCCACAATGTATATGTCTATCAAATCATCACATTGTGTACTTTAAGTATATACAGTCTTACTTGTCTGTTATACCTCCATAAAGCTGTTAAAAATGGTCCAACATGGGAAATTTCATACGGTTTAACCTGCATGTTATGTCATCATTTAATTAACCAGCTCTCTATGAAAGGAAATATGGGCTATTTTAAGACAACACTAATCTCAGCTTTTTTGCAGTGGATACAATGTACTTTTTTTTTTTTTTGCGGTACGCAGGCCTCTCACCATTGTGGCCTCTCCCGCTGCGGAGCACAGGCTCCAGACGCACAGGCTCAGCGGCCATGGCTCACGGGCCCAGCCGCTCCGCGGCATGTGGGATCCTCCCGGACGGGTGCACGAACCCGTGTTCCCTGCATCGGCAGGCGGACTCTCAACCGCTGCGCCACCAGGGAAGCCCACGATGTACTTTTTAAATAAAGAATAAATAAGACTGGCATGCCTTTTAAATTAGTGTGGTTTAATAAAATGCTCATGTACATTTTAGTACCCTTGTCACATCCTCATATTGTATGCTCTTTGTTCCCGTTTTCATTTCCCATTTTTTCCTCCTGTTTCTTTGCCTTGCTGTCATCTCTACTATTTTTCTCTTTCTCTGTTTTTCACTTTTTTCCTTTCTCTGTATTAGCTAAATGGAATTTCAGGTAGTCTCATCTAGCTACCCAGGTGCTGCACGCTAGATAATTTTATGGGTGCCTCGATTTCCCCAAAGGAAAAAAAAATCACTTCTATACAAAAGTTTACGTAGTGCTGATGTGGGGAAGCCAAAGGGAGCTGTAACTCATCAAATCTCTTCCTCTCCCTTTACCCTTGGCTGTTATCCCGAAATTCTTAGTCTTGTTTCAAGGAGAAGCTTGATTTTGCATTCAGATTTACTATTGTAGAGAATTTCACAGGTGTTTGCTGGGAGTGAGACATTCTGAAACAGCACCGATACAACCTCAGACCAGCTTGGTTTTGAACATGCGTGTGAAGGACAGGCGGTTTGCTTTTTGTTGGCCCATGAATACTGTAGTCTTTCATTTTGCAGCAAGTGGCTGGAGGAACATTGGTCAGGCTTATAGACGAGGATTGTTCAACCGTCATAAGCCAAACAGTATAAACAAGTGGGGGCCATCTCAATGACTTTTTTCACACTGACTCATCTTGGTTAAGGTCTTGAAGCTTCATGTGTCAAAAAATATTTCCTAATTTGGTTTATTATGCGCGCATTTATTTTTTTGACATTTATGTCTTCTTACAGTTAATTTTAATGTCCATAAATGGGTCTCTAAATTTAGGTAAAACATACCTAAACACTGGAAAGATATTCAGAACTTTGCAACATTGTATCTGGATTAGGGCCTCTCTTTCAGCCC